TCTTCCATTGCTCTCTGGTCCAGTTCTGATCAGGTGTACGTTGTAGGCGCGCTTTTGGCTGTGGACACGGGTCAGCATGGGCTCCCTCAACAGTCTGTGGCTACGCAGCCTCATACACCACAAACTGCAATGCGCTGTGTTCTGACACCTTTCTGTTGAAACCAACATTTAACTTTTTCAGCAATCTGAGCTACAGTAGCTCTTGTTTTGGATCAGACTACATGGGCTAGCCTTTTCTCCTCACCTATACCAATAAGCCTTGGCCATCCATGACCCTATGGCCATTTCATTGGTTTTCCTTTCTTGGACCACTATTGTTTGGTCCTGACCACTGCGGACTGTGAACATCTCACAAAAGCCACAGTTTTGGAGTTGCTCTGACCCAGTCATCTAGCCATTACAATTTGTCCCTTGTCAAAGTCGCTCAAATCCTTACACTTGCCCACTTTTCCTGCTTTCATCACAACAAAATGTTCACTTGCTGCCTAATATATCCCACCCACTTTCAGATGCTATTGTAAAGAGATAATCAATGTTATTCACTTTACCTGTCATTGGCCATAATGTTATGGCTGATTGATTGGTGTAGTTTCTTTATATATATTAAAAACAAATTTAAAAAATCTTTTTATTTCTACAAGGGTTCAAACAAGATTTACAAAATTAAACCGACCCAACCAAGGTACAGAAATAGGGTAGGGGACCTCGAGACTAGAACCGTGTCTCTCAAGTGACCACGCAGGGTCATGCATTAATTCTTTGTGGTAGGTCGCCTCGCAGGGCTCAGGTGTAGATTCTCTTTAGTGCTTAAAACTAAATAACTGTTGAGATGAAATCAGCCAGCCATATGTAACCCTTTTCAGTACAGCAGCAGAGGTTTAGTAGCGGTATAAAGTTGTGATTTATTATTGAATTTGGCTTATAGTCTGTTAAATTGTCTGTACAAGTTTATAGATGTACTTCTTAGAAGAGAAGGTAACACACAGTACAGTCATTGTGCCACACTACTAAGGCCCCATTCATACTTGAATTTGGTTGTGCAATTCCTTAACCTCAAGATGAACTATCCCAATAATCAATGGGCCCTTTCACACCTGAGTATTGTGTTGCGTGAAACTTAAAAAAACTACATGAGCTGCTTTGAGGCAGAATCATGTATTTTTGGCTGCATAGAGTTTAAGGAGAGCACCTGAAAATGGCATGTTAAGGCGTGGTATTCAGGAGCTTCCATTTAAAGTCTAGGGGGCCAAAAAAAGTGATTCTGCTGCTGTGTGAAAAAGTGTATAAATATGTGGGGGAAAAAAGGCCTCTAAGTTGCTTGGCTATGCTAATGCTCCATTGTGAATGAGTGCTGTCAGTAGAGCAGCAAATGAACAAATACAAATTCTTTCCTGACCCTAAACATTTAATAGCTACATACAAACATATTTGTGGAATCATAAGATTTATACTTAGTAGATCACGTTCACATATGTTAAATAAGAAAAATGTTGTGTTCGCTTTACATTATAGAGGCGACATTTTCAATTCTGCAGTTTGCCTAATGAAGTTTGTCAACACTGCTATATTCCTCTGTGGTAGGCAAATGGCTGATCAATTAAGGCAATGTATTGTGAACAAAGACCTCCATGTCTGATCCTGTTGTCTTTACATTTCATGGGAAAATATGTCACTATGAGTAAATGCACCTAAAAGATGGTCTCTGATCTTGAAGAGTCGGGCTATGGTTTTTGCCTGTCCCCCAACTGTCCTAGTCGCAAATTAGACATATATTGAACAGTGTTTTTTTTGTTTGTTTTTTGGTTGGTTTGTAAATGATTGAATAAGAGTGCCAATTGAAAATAAGGACAGGCTCAGTCCAGAGGTTGGAAACCTGACCTTGTTTAACATTGTTTCCCCATCACAGCAGAGATATATCTTTTACTCCCCAAGAAACCAAGCTTATAATGGAATACTGTATAGCGCTGTGGTGGTAGCATATCCCAAAGGTGGTGAAATGGCTCCGGCAAGATTGGAATGTACTCTGAAGTCTAGGGGGGTTAGTTTAAAGATCACGTTAGAGAGGGAATGGAAGTGTTCTTGCCTCAGACATCTGTGCTAGGCAGCATATTCATAAATATGAATGGCCACATTGTGTGATTGATTAGCCCAGCTTTTTTCAACCAGGGTCCCTGGGCACCCTGGGGTGCCTTCAGATTTTTTCAGGGGTGCCTTGGCAAAGTGCCTAAAAATTACCCAGAAATTGTATACAAGCCAGAGGCAGGATCAAACCTGCCTTTTAATTACACAAAACCACAGGGTTTCCCTGTGCACCATTACAATCAGTTGATAAGGAGGACATTGGCACCTGCACAGCATCCTTATTTGCACCTCCACTGCGCCACTCACTCAGCACTGGGGTCACATTAGCTGAGTGAGAGAGAGAAACTGAGGGAGAAGAGAAACATTGGAATACTAGACAGTAGGAGTGTGCAAAGGAAAATTTTGCTTAGAAAGAATAAATCACCTCTAATGCTGGGTGCCTTATGTGTATGATTGTTGCCACATTATGTAAAACTATTCATTTAGTTTTTAAACTTCAGAATGGGGTGCCTCAATTTGTGCAGAACTGTAAAGGTTGCCTTGACTAAAAAAAAAAAGGTTGAGAAACACTGGTTTAGCCCATACAACAGGGTCAAGAAGGTATGCTGAAGACCACTCTGTCTGTAGCATCCTTTCTCTACCTTTTTAACATACAAGGTACCCTTGAAATAACTTTCCAGTCTCAGGGAACCCCTGTTAATAATTACTATGTCTATATTCTCACAGTACATTATTGTGACGGACACTGGGACAATGCTCCTTACAGTTGTGGGCATTGGGAAGAACCCTCCGCCCCATTACAGATATGGGGGGGGAAAAAGACCATTGTCAGTGATTATTCATCTGGGAAGCATAAATTGCTCAAGGAACCCCTAGCAACGTATGGAGGAACCTTTAGGGTTCCACAGTACCCTGATTGAGAGAGGCTGGTCTACAGTGACCCTTGTGAAGATTAAGACCATTGGACATAGTTTTCCAATTTGTATTTCTACCATTAACCTTCAGTTGGTGCACATGCACAATAGATATCACCTGAACCAGCTAAAAACCCCATAGACTTTACTCTGAGACATGAAGGTGTACACATGCAGTAGATTTATTTCCACAGATATTGCCTTTTTACACCTCATCTTGAAATGATTGTGACAGCGATGGAGCTAAAGCAACATTAGATAACACTGATATATAAACTGTAGCCATGCAATAATTCCTTTGTCTAAATGTGATCAGCAAAGGTCTGCTTTAGCTGTGGTCCAGATTCTTCTCCCTTTCCATTTTGGATTTATCAGATTAAGCCATACCACAGAGTTGGTAACTATTCCGCATCCATAGCTGATAACAGCATATGGTCAGCTTTCTTCCCTATGTTCATGTTCTCTGTCTAGCTAGATTGCTTGCGGAATCAGACAAGCTTTTGTAGTCCGCTGAAATCTCCCAGAGGAGGACAAGACTCCCATAATAAAGCAGTTGAGTCAGTAAAAAGTATTTTGCCTATTCCTGAATTGTAAATCTCCTGAAGAAAGTTTCAGTCCTGTATTAGAAAAAGAAAAGGCATATGCTTCCAGATGCAATGTGTGAAAATAAAGCAACACGTTTGCAACAAGTTGCTCACTGTATGAGAGCATATGGAAAATGACAAGTGGCCACTTAATGGTAATTGCTTGGGAAAGCTATATTGTCCTGGTTCTACTTAATTAGCTGTATCCATGGTAATTTACACATTTTCAACATGGGAATCCCATTGCGGCTTTTGGATAGAATTTCATGTGTTATACAATTGAAATCTAGAATTTCTTTTCTCTTTCGATGTGTAAATTATATTAGATCTGCACTTGCTTCTAGGCACCACTTGATATCTTGGGGTCTGTGGGTTGGTACTGTTGCCTATAATTTCCTTAATGCTTTCACCTAGTTTCATTGGATTTTTTTTACTTTTGTTATTGGAAGGATTGTAATTTTGTACATTATTTTTTATTTTTTACTTGTGGAATGTGTATATTGTATATTACAACCTAACTTTAAAGCCTAACTGTTTGGTAGATAAATATTGCAAAGCATCACTGGTATGCAATAGATGGTACCTCCAGATTGCTTATCTCTTGTGCTTTCTTATTATTATTATTATACAGTATTTATAAAGCGCCAATAGTTCGCTCAGTGTTGTACATTACAAAGGGGGACAGTACATGTGACAGAACAATACCAATGCAATGCAAAACATGAGGGGATCGAGGGCCCTGCTCTTTCGAGCTTACAATCTAGGAGGGAGGGGATGGTGGCACAGGAGGAGATAGCTGTGGGGGATAGAGTGGTGGAGGTCGGTCAAGTTAGCAGGGGGTGGGGTAGGCTTCCCTGAAGAGATGGGTTTTCAGGGTGCACCTAAAGGAGGGGAGAGTAGGTGATAATCTGATGGGTTGGGGCAGGAAGTTCCAGAGGATGGGTGACACCCTGGAGAAGTCCTGGAGGCAGGCATGGGAGGAGGAGACAAGGGAACTAGAGAGAAGGAGGTCTTGTGAGGAGCGGAGTGTGCGTGCTGGGCGGTACTTTGATATTAGGTCAGTGATGTAGTTCGGGGCAGTGTGGTGGACGGCTTTGTACGTCAGTGTTAGGATTTTGAATTTGATCCGTTGCGCAATCGGAAGCCAGTGGAGGGATTGGCAGAGGGGGGTGGCGGAAATGAAGCGGTTGGAAAGGTGAATGAGTCTGGCAGCCGTATTCAGGATCGACTGAAGCGGGGATAGCCAGCGGCGAGGCAGGCCAGTGAGGAGGGAGTTGCAGTAGTCGAGTCGTGATATGATGAGGGAGTGGATGAGCTCTTCAAGGGCTACAAAAACCCGTAGACTATGGCATGCAAAATTTGATCTGCTCCCATAATTGAGCCTTATGCTGGCCACCAATTATACAGTTTTCATGTTTAGTTTCCTTTAGATTTACCTTCAACTATGTAGTAGAAGGGTCTGCCTGATTTGCACACAAATCGAAAGGGTTTAGGTTTGACCTCCTATTATAAGGTTTTGGTAAATCTAAGGGAAAGTTATGCAAGAAAATTGTGCAATGTATTGCAAGCCTAACTCTTCCGTATCCTATGCCACAGTATTAGAGTGTGATGCCCATGATGGGTCAGTGGCGGATAGGCCTGTCCGGGCTCTTGACCACAGGAGGTACTTCAAATTTACATAATTGAGCATTGCCAACCCAGAGCACACAACAAACATTGTCAGTGAAATCTAAAAAGTCTGATTGCTCCATCTTGGATGCTTGTTCCTGGTCTAGGCAATTAATTTAGAATCAGAATAACACTCCCAGAACATGTGCCTTTTTATAATTCAAGCAGTCTTTATTTTTTTTTCAATGCTTATTGTGAAGTAAACTGTGCGAAGAATTGTGATGAACCGAGAATCTGTTTATTATTAATGTCACTCCACTCTTCAGGACAATGTCTGTATTGGGATTTCACAGCCCTACTGGGTCACATGTTCTCATAATGAAAAGGCTAAGAGTGGCATAAAGTTAATGGGGCATATCCATTTTACTGCCATAAAGCTTCTATTAGTCTTCTCTCTGCAGCATCTCTTGTATAGAAAGCCTAGATGAGATAAGGGGAATCCTGGCATGAGCTATCTTTTTAATACTATATTTTTTGGTTTATTTGCAACTGCGCAAGCAAACATTGTATTTTGCACTGCATCCATGCTATTGTGCAGCATAGTGAAATAATGTTCATTAAAAGCACAGTGTGCAGTGGATTTATGTGCAGTTTTGCGTATTCCGGGGCCCGTTTTTATCACTGGAAATCAATGTGGTGTGAATGGCCTGGAATGCTCAATGACCACAATCTTCAGTTATGGGATATAATTAATCTCAAGAGGCATCAGCTTAATAATGGAATTCTTTTTCTCAGTTGGCCATCATTGCTATATGTCATTACATTTACTGAATACACATCCAACTTAATTGCATGCGTTATCTGAGGCATCTTAAAGCTGAACTCCAGGAATTCAGCCAGTCTGTAAAATGTGCTAGTATACCATGAATTAGGTCCATCAAGTTGCATGCCACTAGCTTTCGCTATACTCCAAGGTTTCTGGCAGAGATAGTTATGCTCCTGGTGGTCTGTAGAAAATATCAGCTGTAAATTAAAGATATAACTTCACAAGGTGGCATGCACCTCATTGGACAAGTAATCCAAAACATTTTCCGAACTGGCTGAATTCCTGGAGTCCAGCTTTAAAATAAACCTGTCCTATTGCCCATTCAGGACAATGTACTAGCCTCTTTAAAGCCTACCTCCTCTAATATCATATTCACCTTCCTTGGTTCCCTGTCCGCCAGCCAGAGCCTTGTGAAATACTTGGTTATGGGGGAGGATGTGACAATTTGTCCATCAGCGCTTGCAGGCATTGGCTGCTCTGTGTGACACAAAAAACAAATGTAAATTGTGTTAAGAAAATCTCAATTGGGAACGTGCATTCCTGCTATGCAAGCTTTGAATGGGATCTTAAAAGTGATCGGGTGGCTCTAGAGCCCCCTGGATCACTTACTAAACAGTTGATCGCTAGCTTGAAAAAAAATAGCAAGCTTATGGCTGCAGCAGCCATGAGCTTGCTTTGACCACTTGAAGTTCAGGACCTTTTCAAACGGTCTAAGGATGTCAAGTGGTAGGGCACTTTGCCAAAAAAAAGTTCCTATATGTATGAGATGGATTGCTTTTGGATACAATCAGTGCTCAAGCAGGAAAAAAAGGATACACTCTCTTGGTGCAGGGAAACTTTGTAACATGGATTTTCAAGGTAGCGATTTGTAGAACACCGTATCCAAGTCTTTGCTGCCTCCTTAAGACTGCAAATCTTTATAAAATACAATAGAACAAACCGCACACAAGGATCATGGGAGGCCTTCCTAAAACGTCATCAGAGATGGTTTGCTCAAATTCTTAGTGTCTTTATATAGCCAGTCTCTGGTTATATAAAGATGTAAACATTGTGAGCAACCCAGTTCTGATGAAGAGTCTGCCCTTGAAACGGTCCTTGATGATGCCCACCAGTAATGGCGGCTTCATGCGGTCTCACAGGTTGAGCAGGTCTTTTCTTGGAAATTATTTTATATGATAACTCGAGTTTTTAAAGAAGGATTTTGAGTATCAGTTTTGTACTATTTTTAATATACGTTTCAGGAATATCTCACACAGTGGTTGTACATTTTGTGTCCATTCTATAATGGGGTGGACTGCTGCAATAGGCAAGAATGAAGTTCAGGAGGGCAGTGCAGGCCAGAATGTGTGAACCAAAAAAGAGAATGGAAAGGGTTGCTGCGGAGGGGGGGAGGAAATTATTTTTCCCAGTGAAAGTCTCTATTTAAAAAAAAAAAAGTTTGATAAAGATGCATGTCTATTGCCAGGTACAAGCAAATATTGTAAAACTATATATGAACCGTGCCATAAGGTATGATCTAAGAAGTACATAGCTCTTCCTATCCTTCTGTACAGTATTTTGACTAAGTGAACGCCTCTGGAACATTATGACAAGTCTTGGGATGATTTGCAGACTGTCGGGGTTCATTCGTCTCCTATAGGCATTTGACACTTTAGAAGTGTTCTTAGTGTTTCAGCGCTGACTGTTGTTTGGGACTCTTCCAAGTCTTGTAAGTGTTGGTGAAGTGAGAGAGAATATAGTGAAAGCTCTGAGCTTGTTCTCCTGATAATGAGTCTGAAAGGCGTACGGATACAGAGGCCAGAATTTACTTTCCTGGCCTAATCCTCCAAGAAGACGCATACTGCTTACCTGTATTGTATGTACATTGTCATTACTATATGTTCTCTAATGTTCGGCCATCTACTTTTGGAATGTGACTATGTTAAAAACCACTGCATGTCCTATTTTATCTGAATATACATTATATTTTCAAAAACTGCTATTATGTTGATTTTTAAAGCGTTAAAACAAACCTGATTGCATGTATTTCCAATTCTTAAGTGGTTGTAAAGCTAGAAGGTTTTTTTTACTTTAATGCATTCTATACATTCAAGGTAAAAAACTTTCTGCTCTTCCCACAGTCCCCTCCATACTTACCTCAGCCTGATCTTGATCCAGTGATGTGCATGAGAGCAGCTGCTCTCTCGGCTCTCTCTTCTCATTGAACAAGGGGAGGTGGAACTAATGGCACAAATGTTGTGTGGGTTTTATTTTGTTCATTTTTGGTAGAGTACCGAAGGGTTAGGACCCTGCCTTTTTTTTTTTTTTTTTTTTTGCTATCTGTGTCCCATAGGGGAGATTTCTCTTCAGTTCCTGTCCCATAGCCAGGACCGGACCAGCTCATTCTTATAAGATTGCTTAAAGTGCACCATATAAGCTGACATTTGCTGGTCTGGCATGCACATTATTTAGCAAGTGTCATATTCCTTGGTGATGTCACAATTTCTCCATGTTTAATAGACTGTGTATTCTGAAACCCTAAAATTGGTTGCTTTCATGATCAATGAATGGTACACCAAAGATCATTGTGTTGGGGTTTCACAGTGGTACCTTCTAACCATATTATGGCTCTCCTAGATCCTTTATATTGATTTTCTTCATGTTGGAGTAGAGTTTGCTGGCCTATAGCCTCCAGGTTCTCCAGTCTCCGTTCCATACATGTGTTGGTAATTTTCACTGATTCAGGTGTTATGTTGGTGAGGCTTTACTTTACATCCCTGGTGCCCAACCTGTGGCCCTTTGACAGTAATTTTTTGTTTTTTTTGCCCTCTGCAGGCACCGTTTCCCTGTTGCTCTGCTATAGTAGTGATTGCTAGCAGTTTTGTTTGATGGGTCTCCTGAACCATGTCCCCAGTCTGCAAAAACTCCTGCACAGTGTCTGACCATATCCTGCAGTGTTTGCAGTCATTCTATCAGTTTTAAGGTGTCTGTAGTCTCTGACCATCTCTTGTAAGGTGTCTGTTGTCTCTGACACTGAATATTATGTGCAGGCCTTTGGCAATCAGGGGCAGCAATTGAGGCCCCCATATCAAGAAAGATGACCAACACTACTTTAGTAAGGTGACCATTTAAATACCAGCACTTGTTCTTGGGCTTGTAAATCTTCTTTATTAGGCACCCGGGTAAAAGTCACAGATGCAAAAGTGCTGACATGTTTCAGCCACAACTGACCGTACTCCTAGCGTGCTGGACGATAGCCACCTATTGTCCATCTATGAATAAGGCCATTTGTGGCTGAAATATGTCAACATTGTTGCATCTGTGACTTATACCTGGGTGTCTAATAAAAATAGATTTACAAGCCCAAGAACAAGTGCTGTTATTTACTTTTTAGTTGGATACATATGGCATATGGGAGCCATTACCGCACCACCACCTTCTGGTCCAGCCAGGTTGAGCACAATGAGTTATTTTTAGGTGGACATTTCTTAATAGATCTACAGTCTCTGATCATCTCTTGTAAGGTGTCCACCATCCTGGCACTGAATATTATGTGTAAACCTTTGGCATGTCAGGGGCCTCAATTGAGGTCCCCATATCAAGAAAGTTGACTACCATTATTTTACCTGTAAGTTATCTTCAGACTCCCTTGCATACAATACCCTTGGACTCCATGTACACGAGCCTACCCTGACCGCCGGCCCTGGGAAAACATAAAGCTCTGCAACCGCGTTACTACTAATTTGCTGCTGTTTTTTTTTTTTTTTTTAGTTTTTCCACAGACGGCGGTCAAAACTTTCCTATCCTGAATGCGATTCTTCTGCGTTCAGGAGAAGGAGGTTTAACCTCACCTACATGCAGCAGCTCCTACATGGACACATAGACTTTTATGGAGTTGAGTTTAGAAGTTTTGGCAAAAAAATGCCAAAAGCTCCTAAACTCGAGTTTTTTTGAGCTGCTGGTTTACATGAAGCCTAATAAGTCACATTGCTAACCATGGAGGTGACCTATTGTGTACATTGCCCAGTTATAGCTGGCAAAGGAAAAGGGCCAG